AGTCGCTATCACGACGCGGTTCATCGGGGAACGGTGCGTCGACGGGGGTCCCGGAGCGAAGGAAGTAAGGTTCCTTGGCGGTGCTACACGGCAAGCGGGGTAATGGTGGTCAGTGGCCGCGCGCTGAAAGCGAAAGGACGTCCGTGCTCCGCTCGAGAAAGGGGGGTAAAATCAAGAGAGCCTGGGTACGTGCAGCGGACATTTAGCCATTCCTTCCTCGCACGTTCGCGGCCCGCAGCAGCAGCAGCAGCAGCGGCCTCGGATCGGATCACCTGAGGCCGATTCATCCGCGGGGACGGGGATCCGCGAGCCGGGCGTGTTCCAGGTCGCAAGGATCTCCCTCGTTGGGAGGGAGACGCAGGTGCGTGTACTGAAAGTGGCCAACACCTGAGCGATCAACATCCAGCCGCGGCTAATGCCAGTCACTCGTGAAACGTGAAACGCGAAACTGGGCGAAAGTTCGGTCGTGCCCACCGTGGTGGACAGCAAGAGAGAGAGAGAGAGAGAAAGAGAGAGAGAGGGAGAGAGAGAAAGAGGGTAATACTCTGAGGAATCCCGGAGGAGATTTCATTCGACGGACGACCGTGTCGTACGCTCGCTTCCACTATCTCTCAGGAGCGAGTCGGAGACGGCGGTTACGAGAGTGTCACGCGGAGTGTCCTCGGAGTGCACGCGAGACCTTGGGTTTCCGGCGCGACCGAAAGAACGGTTCGGAGCCGCTTGCCGTTGCCGCCGAGCTCCCGTCAGCGGTTGAGCAAGGTCAGTGAAGAATCGGATCGCACGTCGGATCGCCATCCCGGATGATTGGACTTTCGCGATTTTCGGCTCTTCGCGCGCGCTCGAAGGGCCGTGACGGAGCCGTGATGGACAAGCGATAGTGTAGATTCCGCGGAGTCGACTCCTCGTCAGCATCAACGCGACAATCGTGCCCGCCGCCGGCCGCTGGTGCATCGTGCAATGTGTACACAACTCGCCAGTCGACCGCGACAAATCTCTCGTTCACTCGTGAAACACGAACTGGAGCGAGAGTTTTGCCATTTTGTCACTATAGCGAGCGAAAAACGATACCGCCCGCTTTGGAAATCGGGGTTACAGACGCGAAATCGTACCCCGCAATTCTTTTTCCGATAGCGCGAGATCGGGGCGGTTAGGTATATCTTATTTGGAAATGATTTTGCAGGCAAAAGGATGCGTTTGGCAAAGTGTGCGAAGAATCTTTGGCAGTAATTTTCTCGAGGCGTTGAAAAGGTGGATTAGACCGGTGGATGGTGGATCGATGCGTCGCGAGCTTTTCGATTTAAATTTGAAATTTGGGGAAAAATGGAGCGACTGGGAATTCAAATCCGCAGGAGTTACTTCAGCTTCATCGCGCAGATTCGGAGAAGCAAGGATAACGCGCGTGCCTCGCTCCCCGTAATCTTCAAACGGTTTTCTCCTTACGACACTCGCGTGCGTACAAATTATCGTCTCGTGCACGCGGTTCCTATTCTGGTCAATGCCGTTTGTCTCTCCGTAAGTTGTCATCTCGATAATCGCCCGTTTCCCTTTTGCTTTTCCCGTCAATAAAGATTTGCTCATGTACGATCGAAGTGCGAAGTGGGGCCGCTGCGCGACGGACGGGCGGTATTGTCTATTTTTCTGTCGGTTCGATGACGCCTGAAAACTTCATCCGAGCGTGACAGCCACCGTCCGTTCGCGGAACGCGAAATACGTAATAGCGAAAGTTTTCCTGCCACATTCCCGCTATTATACACATATAGGAAGTAATAGTCGGTACATATCACCCGGCGCGTATCAGTGTGTATCGCACGGGTCGTAAGGAACGCGCTCCGGAGAACGTGGGGTCCTTTGGCGCGCTCGCTTTTCGCGCTGATATCGTTCGAGCCGGCCCGCGCACTCGAACTGTCATTCGCATCCAGGCACTCAACGCAGCGCAGCTGCAGCCTCCTATGCATCACCCGTGCCTCGAACAGCTGATTTTTATTATTCGGCGCGGCGCGGCGGGTCGATAAGCTCCGTTTCTCCCTCCCGGAGCGGGTAGGTCATTTATAAGTGGGCAGCATCGCGTTTCATCGCGACGTTTTCTTGAGAAGACGGACCTCGCGCAGCGGAATCGCTCTCAAGTCGCGGCAAATATAGCTCGTTCGTGCCATGAAAATGCGAAACCGCCGTTGGTAATCGCGGGCGAAAGTTTTATCCGTTGAATCTTCTTAAAAGACGTCGCACAAAGTCGTACTTTCCATGTAAAAAGAATAACGGATGATGTCTCGGATATCGCGCTCTCACGCTCACTTTATCTCCTTACACAGGCACAAGAAGCATATTCTCGAGGATGAAACGAAGAGCGCGAAAAGATGCTGTGTTTCTCTATACGCGACCGACGAAAAGTTTGACTGAACGTTAATTTGATTTACGAGAAATTTATTGTGGAATTTTATCATTCGCATTATATTGCGCACTGACATCTCCATTTCATCTTGACGGTTATTTCTTCTGTTTATTCTGTCTATTAAAGGAACACTGAGAAAAATTTCCATCGGATAAACCAATTAAATAGTATGTCCGATGGTTAATTTTTCCGATTACGTTTTCCGATTAAATTATGGATATATCCGATGAAATTTATCCGATGAAATGCAATTACCGGTGAAATTTAATTGAAAAACCGATTAAATTTTTCATCGGATATACAATTTAATCGGATATATTCGTTTGTTATCATGTAATTGGATTATCCGATTATATTTAATCGGACATTTTTCTCAGTGAACAAGTTTTAAGATTTTTATTTTTACACAGTTGGAAGATTTGTTTTCTTGTTAAAAAAAATGCCGGTTAAAATTTTTGTATTTAATGTTTAACACATTCACGTGTTAATTTAACATATTGCTCTTGTGTCAATTGACCTCAAACGTAAAGTTATTAAAATAACTGAAAAGAAATGCTAAAACAACACAATGTGCACTTATTTTTTAATCTCACACAATACATGCGTTCTATATTATTAGTAACAAGATTTATCTGTTAAAATTTACAGAATGAAATGTTGATTTTATTCTATATAACATATGTGAGAGTGATTTCGAACTGTGATTTGACTAATTACATTTTTTAAATTAATTTTGCCATTAAAAATATGTTAATTTTACACAAAATTTATTTCAAATTATTTTGAGATTTGCATTTACTTTGTGTTAAAATATTAACAGAGTATTAGTATGATCATTGAATATATGCATATTATGTTAAATTAACAAAAATTTGTGTGGCCCGTTTGGGACATGTGATATCTGTTAAATTCAACACAAATTTGTCAACTGTGTAGCACAATTTATTTAGCAATACCTATGTAGTAAAGCAGTGCCTTACAGCGTACGTTTGTTTGCTTTTATTCTCGCATATTACGTGTCTTTTGAAGTTTTTTGTAAAAATAGGCCGCTCATCTCTCGACAAATCTTGTTTCGAGGCCTCGCTAGCGCATCGCGTAATCGATGATGCGTGGCACGCACACGCGACCTGTGTCTGGCCAAGAGAAATGGGATCCGCTCGCGAAACACGATGCACGAAACGGAGCGAAAGTTTCACCTTTTACCTTAACAAAAGAGATTGAATAAATGGGATGTGCAAGCGCGACGAAGAGAAAATCGTTTAATCGGGAAGTTTCTCCACCCTGAATTCTGCGCGGACGTTTCAAGTGCGATCTCAATTCAATATGGATGGCATCTCTCTTTTTGCCCCACCGAAAACACGGGCGGCCACGGTCTACCGGAGAGTATTCTTCAGTAAATATGAAATTGATTGACAAGCACGAATCGTGTAACGCCAATTTGTTCGAGTTACGGTCGCTTGTTCCGTTGAAAGTGAAATCGCAGTATGCAAGAACCGCGGCATAGATCTTCACGTCGATTTGTCGCTGTGTTTCTTGCATTTTGTGTGTGTACACGCAAGCTTCTTTACGGCGATCGACGGTGTCGAATTGAATACCATGAAATTGATACATTACTTTGGCATCGTTATTTCTGTCATTTCGTAAGATCCGATAGATCGATAAAGCCGCAGTCCAAAGGAACTAATTTACAATTACAATATCATAAAATTTGCGCCATGAAGAGATCAATGATCACTGGATAATTCTAGCGCTGTCAATTGTTACAGAATAAGATATCAATTAAACTCCCAAGCTTACGTCGAACGCGATTTTTAACGCGTAAGTTTATCTAAAATAAATATTATTAAGACCTTTTCTTGAAACTTAAATATGTGATAGTGTAATCTGCAATGAGACGAATAACTTTAATTAACTATCTGCATTGATCTTTTTGCAGCATTTAAATTATTTTACGGAGGAAATTGATTCCGACTTGATAAAGTCGAATGTTCGCTGCAGAGGAAAGCGGACTCTAAATTACTCCAAGTATCTTGCCATCAGAAAATATAATGCGGTAAAAGTGAAACATTTCTATGTAGAGTGCTTATTGTATTTCGCTAAATGACGGCAAAGGAGCCCCGATTTCCATATATCTTCATGTATAAATGCACAGGAGAAAATCCACGTAGGATCGTATATAATCATGGGAGGATCATAACTGAATATAATGAATTTCTTCCGATATAATGAAACGGTGTGCAATGCAATTTCGAAATTTGCGGCGCACGCGGCGCGGCGGGGCTGAATCTCGCGCGGTTCTCGATTGCAAAACACGCGACCTGGCGTTGCCTCCCGCACGCCACGGCGTAAGGCTTTTAATCTCTCTCTTGCACGGGGAAGAGGTAAATAAACCTTTCCCTTCCCCGTATCGGAACGCGATTGTTCCTCCCTCGATCGCGGGGAGCGCGTGCAAGAGCGCCTTTTACATAAGACGCGCGTGGCTACCTGCGTAGGATGCACTTTACAATTAGTGCAACCTGCGAGGATGCATCGTCACGGTTCTGCGCCTGCCGGCAGGCACGGGCAGGCAGGCAGCCTCAGCCAGTCGTCGACTCACCGCGAATAATTTCAGGGATGTACGAGACCGCAACGTGACTGACGCAGCACCGGAAGCAGAGGAAGTCAAAAATGTCGCCGCGCAGGAGGACGTCTACCTTCCCGCCGCCGCATTCCTGGCTGGTCACGGTGGTTCTGCTCGTCTTCTCCGTCCAGGTTCAGCGTGTGGCAGGTACGTGCGCGCGCGCGGATTGCTGCCCGTAATTGTCGTACGATCTCCGATCCGCGGGGTCTTTCGATGAAGATTCTCGGCGGAGAGGTAGGTTGCGAGTGGAAACGTAAATCACGTCGATTTGAGGACGCGAGGAAATGAAACGGCGCATGCGTTGATTATTAATCCTTCGCAACGCTACGTTTTTTTCGTCTAAACAATTGAATACAAAAATTAAATAAGTCCATTTTACGTTCGAAGATACAAAACCATTACATTGTACAGCGGTTAAAAGATTTTTTTTAGACACGCCAACGTTAATTGTAAGACAAGCAAACGTCTGGCAAGTAATCAGACGTTTAGAATCTTGCTTAACAGGTTTAAACAACTTCAGGTAACGAGAACCTGCGAACGAAACAATAAACGAACATTTAAATATGACAAAGGTGTGCCAATCGGTCTGCTTTTTGTAACAATAGTTATAACTATTGAATATGGGAGAAGCCAACATTTTTTTAGACGCAACTATGTCAGTCAGTAGGCGATTTGGCATTCTGAGACGATCGGGGATTTGTTTCAAAGTCCAATTAGCTCCTATATGGAGCAGCGCGCGCGCGCTCGAGTAGCAGCGTACCCTTGTGCAGCCTGGCATTGTCGCCGGTAACAATGCGAACGTACGTGCGCCAATTTGCACGTACACGGTGCGAGCGGAGCTGGCGGAGGCGCCGCCTTGCCGGAGATGGACTGTTAATTCCCATCGTTACCATTTTAGATCGTGAGATCGCGGTCTGGTCTACATCTGCAATTTGTAGGCGGTTCGTTAGCGAATCTTCGCCGGTTCCCGACCGCCGCGAGAACCCAACGCAATATCCCGCCGGGTTCGCGCGTAATAAATATTCGATTGCCGATGCGTGTATACCGTTGCCCATAATAGATTGATTCGCGCGAGAATCAACGTCGACGCGCGGCATTCACCCCGCAAGATCGCTCCCGGCGAGGATCCAAGCGGTTATCCATTACATCTCCACGGCGCAGGCGATGCACCGCGGAAGTTGGCCGAACAAAGCCCGATGGAGAACAAGTCCTCGTTGAAATATGCACGGAGAGAATTTTCTCTCTGAAAATTTATCCTGGAAATCAAGTAATCGTCCACTGAGAAAAATGCCCGATTAAATATAATCGGATAATCCAATTACATATGTAACAAACGAATATATTCAATTAAATTGTATATCCGATGAAAAATACGATCGGTTTTTCGATCAAATTTTATCGGATGTATCCATAATTTAATCGGAAAATGTAATTGGAAAAATTAACTATCGGAAACGCTATTTGATTGGTTTATCCGACGAAAATTTTTCTCAGTGTGGGACAACGTGGCATATTTCGAAGAATTTTACGAGGGTCTTTTTTTTAAGCTTCACCATACATTTGACTTATAAGTATATTTAATATGCATTTTTCTAGTAAAATCAGGGTTGGGAAGTAACTAATTACTTGTAATGAAGTTATGGTTGAAGTTTCCTTTTTCGGCAACTCTAACTTAACTCAGTTACATTAATAGTTACTTTATATATTTTTTGAACCTTGCGCTTAAACGCCTGTAACGACGCTTTACAATTTAAATGCAGATTTGATATTTTTATTTTCATCGCAAGAAAGTAACTGCGAAGCAACGATTCGTTACTTTTTGAGTAACTGTAACGTGTTACTTTTCAGAATTTGTAACTTGTAACCGTAATTAGTTACATTTTTTGGCAAAAAAGTTGTAAAGTAACTTTCCCAACCCTAAGTAAAATGCATGGTAAAATTTCAAAACACTCTCACAAAGTTGTTCAAAACGCGACGTTGCCCCACGATTACATGATTTTCCGGGTAAGTTTTAAAAGAAAATTCCCTCCGTGTACGACGTAACTGGAACAATTATCATTCGACCGAAGTGGCACGTCAAAGATCTCGCATATTTAATAATAATAATAACTTTATTGCGCGCGTGTCGCAAATCAGTGTAACACGAGGTATCGCACGCACGGGATTAACACATAAATGTTGCACGCGAAAGAGAGAAATTGATTAAAAAAAGAATTAAAATAACACCTAATGATAATGAAATGTAATAAATTGAGTCAGCTGGTTAAATGAAGTGACATCAATTATGTCTTCGAATGGGAAGAGAAAGTTGAAGATATTTGGAATTATCGTCGCTGGAACATTTCTTATCTTATCGGCACGAGCCGGTTAATTAAGAATACATGAAACTCACGAGACATTCACGACATGGATATCGTATAAGCCGCTCCGCAAGTATGAGAACGCATGTGTTCGAGCTCCCACGTCCACATCCACGGGGTCCGTTCGAAAGCGAAGAAGCTACAAAAGCGCACAAAAAGTGGGCTGACCTTGGCCCATTTTCGTCGAAGCTTCGGAGAGCAGCGGGCTTATTCCTGTAAATGCAACGACACGCGTGCACATACGTGTGTGTGTGTGCATGCTGTGTGTGACAAGCAAGCATATCTATTGTCGCGAGCGATGTATAACGCGCGTCTGGATGAAGATGCGTCCGTACGTGTGTGTGTGTGTGTGTGTGTGTGTGTGTGTGTGTGTGTGTGTGTGTGTGTGTGTGTGTGTGTGTGTGTGCCCAGCGCTCGCCTCGCGATTTTCTTGGCCCGCTCGCCTTTCAAAAGTAATCCCCTTCCTCGCATCGACTCGAGAGATAGACGCGGAGGAAGTGAGAGGTGGCTAGACAGATTGGGAGAAAGGAAGAAGAGAGAGAGAGAGAGAGAGAGAGAGAGAGATATTCCCGCGAAGTGATTCCTTTAAAACGTTAGCAATTCTCCTGGAAAGTGAAGCTTCGAGAGATTCAGTGCTAACCGCAAAACACGTTCTAATTTACATGCTTCGAGATAAATACTTTTCACGCCAATTACGCTAAGAAGACAGTTCCAAATTAAGGGTTGTTGATTGCACGAGTTAACAAAGTTAGCCTGCGTCATCGGTGCAACACTAATAGCATAATATAAACTAGGAAACGTCACAATGCTACAGAAAAGTGGTGAAATTTAACATGCAGAAAATGTATATATTTTTCTCTTATTGTTGGCGCAAAGTTTCCAAGCTCGTGGGTTTCATGGTTGAAATGTTCAGTGGCAGAGTTCATACCATTCACGATCGCTCGTGCAGTGTTCGCATATTAAATTTCTCGGCATCGCATTATTCACGCATATTACGCGCGTAATATGTCAGCGTTTTGAATCAGAAAGTGGCAAGTGGAAGCCCGAGGACCGGCACGTTCGCACCTCGCGTAAGAAAACGTCTCGATTGGCGTCGCCTGAGACGGTTAGAAAGTGTAAAGCTATTTTTAACCGCGACTACAACGTCGATGATAATTAGACGTAAGTTTCGCAATTAGTTCCGCCACGTAAGCAAATTCCTAATTAAGGCATAACCGATCCGCATCCGACGGGCGCGACAACGCACTATCGTTCGCGGAGCCGTCGAGGGTATTACAGGAAGTAGTAACCATGCGTGTACAATCGACAGTAGGTCGATACGATTAAAACGGAGCGTGTGCCATGCCTTGGCTTTTTCCATCCTCCGAGGTAAACGCTCGGCAAAACGTAAGAGACGCGGTAAATGCAGATTTGCTCGCTCGTGCCTGGAATTAAAACAAAAATTCCCGTTACAAGAGACACCACGAAAAACTCGTTACGAAAGGCCCGTAGGAAACTTCAGTCAGTCGTATATACGCTGACGAGAGAAAAAAAAAATAACGGGGGTCCGCGCGGCGGGTACGCATGAGCGCGCGTCCACCTCGTAATCGGAGTACGTTACATTCACTGTGCGATAAGGTGAAAGTCTGACGTGATAAGTACGCACAAGCGGCCACCTGCAGCACCGATCTAACTGATTGTGAGACGCCCGAGGCGGGCCGCAAAGCGCTCGCGGATCGGCACTTGTCGTCGTCGCCGTCGTCGCCGTCGCCGTGAAAGACCGAGCTTTAAAGCGGGATAACTAATGATGCCCAGGGTTAACCCGCCGCGACATAAATAGGGCGGAATAACAATGCATCAAGCCTGAATTCACCTTCGAGTGGATTGAGATTTATGAGATCAGGATGTGATAATGTTACGCAAGAAACCCTAACGCGAGTCGGCTCTCCTCGTATCCGTTATACGGGGCGTATCAAAGGGCGAGGGCGAGTTTTCAGAGCTTGTTCCAAGCTTCTCCCTCTTCTCTTCTTAAAATGAGTGATCTGTACAAATGTTTGCCGCGCTGATTTTTATTTGGCCCGAGATATTCTATAGTAACTAGACGTTTCTCTCCCTCTTCGGGGGGGGGGGGGGTGTTTTTTTTAAAGGAGCTAACGTTTGGAGAACGCTATGTGTTTTACTAATTGTTATTTGCTGCGAGTCGTGTATATTAAGACAGTGAAATATTTAAAGCAACGCAGAAAGTCTCGTATACGTTGCTAATTCCTCGCAAACGTCCGTCGACGACTTTGTCCTTTGACACATTCTGCATGTCTTTGCGAGTTCCTTTCTGTGGGATTGCATACACAGAACGGGGAAGTGTTTACATCGCGCAATTGCCCAGCGATTCCCCAAGTAGTCGGTGCCGTGGAATAAGCTCAGCCGAGGATAAAGAGGTGATCCGCGCCGCGTGTGGCTACGCTGGTGGCGAGCGATTATAAAGATACCGAGCTCTCGAAACGTAATCGCCGGTGTGTGACGTTTCTACGACGGGGCCGAAGAGATAAAAGCCTCCCGTCCGCGAGGGAGCTGTACACTGTTGTGAGAAAAAGAAAGTGTTGGATCAAGAAACATTTCTTGATTCGAGCATAAGTAGTACATATACTATAACTAGTGGGTCCACTCTCTGCCGGCCCTTTGATCTATCAATTCACAAAAATACTCGTCAATTGAAAAAAATATGCGTTTCGATAAATCACTGTATGTTTAACTTAAAAACAACTATATCTGAACTGAAGAAATACTGCCGACTAACTGTATTTAGTCATTTCAATAACTTTGGTTTCTCAGCGTAGATGTATCTTAAGCTTATTCTACAATGGACGCAAAACGCGAAGCGCTAAGTCGCAACGTAAGGGCCTGAGCAGAATGGATGTCTTGTACTTTTAAGACATAAGACAATTATTCTGCGTCACCTCAAGACAAAGGCTTAAGACGTAAAACATTGTCTTAAGGCTGTCTTAAGAATATAAGACAGTCATTCTGCTCAGGCTCTAAGAAATCGGCCAATGGCAGTCTCGGCTTAGCGTCTCGCGTTTCGCGTCCATTGTAGAATAAGCTTTAACGCGAGAGCGCACGAAACATCGTTTCGAGAATTCGCGAGTATCGCGGGCGATGCGCCGCCGCGATCCTTCCCTCCGACTTGATCTTGATCGGCCGAGCGATCGCAGTTCGGAATAAATTGAGATCGAATCTCGAGATGCGGGCTTCCTCCGTTGCCGGATAACGCGGCGAGCGCGCGCGCGCGTCTGCGCCCGCTATCGTCTCTCTCGATCCGTTCCCTTTCGCAGTCGGAAGCGATGTTTCACTCTCGCGTCCAGATTATGCTGGATAATTAGTCGGCCGTGTTCCCCGCGTGGATTTCAGCGCGTACGCAACAATAGCGTAAAGCCGGAGGATCGTTTACGTGCCACGCACGTCGGTCGAGAGTGACGAAACGTGCGGCAGAGATCTGGAAGCGCCTTTGTCTGAAATACAAAATATGAAGTAATACAGCTCGAATGACGATTTACGCGACTCGCCTGCGTATTATTTGAAGCTTGTATCACTGCAAAGCCTGTATATATCTGTACCTTGAAGTGAAAGTATAAAATTCCAAATTTCATTCGACCACAGCTGGCCACATTTGTTAATTAACCGGTCAATTTTATTGTTACCCTGTTATTGTTACACTTTAAAAGAACAAAATTATAGGCGTGTCTTTCGACGCGACTGATTTTCCTTGGGACTTTCCTGATAGGTAACCGACGGACACAGTATTCGAATCAGGCGCCGTTATAAAATTATAAGCGTGAAGTGTGCGCGCGTGTGTTTTGTCAGCGGTTTAATAGCTTTATCATGTTGCTAACAAGAGGATCGCATGATGCGTTCGCGTTACCGATCTTCCTGACATTTTACGTGCCTGAGATACTTATCTGATATGCTATGCAAGAGAGAGAAGATCCATTACTTAAGTATCACGGAGAAATTTAATTGTTAGGAAAGTTTGCATATTTTAAGTATTTATTTATTATAGATACATGGCACGTACGTTATTAAGTATACGGGCACGACGAGATACATATTTACTCTTCTTAAATTTGCTGAAAAACTTGGATTTATTCGTTGATTAAAGGGCACTAAGTGTATATAAATCAAAGAAACTTCATGTATCCTTCGCAGAAGTTTGAACGAGAACTTCCATAGTTGCGATAGCGAGACGTAACTCCATTTAGAAATTTCAAAATATTTTATTTTCATCGCACATATCGATCTCCCCTTGCCGCAAACTTGGGGGAGTAAATTGAGGTGAAGCAAAGTCTGCCGGCAAGCAGGCGGAAATTGACGCAAAACCGACGGAGGCAAACAACGCTGTTTATGTCGTCGTATTCGACATTGTATTCGACACGGCGATGCCTTTTTACCTCTTATCTGACGATAAAGAGAAACAAGAGTGAAAATAAAACTAACTCCGCTTCGAGCGCCGCGCATTCTTCTACTCGCAACGTGTACTTCGCGAAACTTGGGCATTTTAATCCCAGTTGCATCCCGCTCGTTTATAATCAATTTGCGTCCGGGCTTAGGCCGGTATTCATAGTCCGTTCTTATATTTAAGATCATCTTAAGTTTAGAAGCCTGACAAAAAAATCTATTCACTCGAATAAGTTTTATTTCAACGATACCATGCTGCTCTCTGATTTAGTCCGAATAGTGGGACACTGTCGGCTCGTACACAAAAGCCACATAATTTGTATATTACAGAAATTTCTAGGAGCGAAATGTGCCAAAAGTGCAGAATCACTCCAGCGTCCTCTCAAGACAGCACTTGAGATGATTTTGAAATGAGAATCGACTACGAATACCGGCCTTAATGTCACGTTTTTTTTTCCCTCCTCTCGTTAGGATGCCAGTTTTATCCCGTGGGGGAGTACCTGAAATTCGTCAGGGTACCGGAGAACCTCGAGACAGGGGCTGAGATTCTCTCGCTGGAGGCACATCCGAGGAGTCGAATCGCCGTCATGCCGGTCGACAAGGTAAGCCATCATCTCCGTGCTAATCTGTTTCCTATCCGAAGCGACGCAGGCAGAAAATATAAGTGTCCCGTAGGAGGAGGACGCCGGCTTCTTCACTTACAAGGAGAGGAACGAGACGCACGTCTCCCTGATTCTGGCGCAGTCCCTGGAGGACCTCGTGGACGCGGAGTCGCCGAGGAACCTGTTAAAATTTCGAGTCTCCTGCGACTCGGGCTCCGGTGACTCCCTGGTAAAGGCGCGAAACCGTACACCGCGCGCCTCTCGTCGGTCGCCGACCCGCGCGGTCAAATTCGAGATACCGGTCTGCCCGAGGGTACCCGATAACTTTTAGTCGCGCGCTCGCATATCTGTACGGTCGCGCTCGTATATCGCCGTGGGTGTTGTCCGTTGCCCTTTGAAAGATTGTCGTAAGCGGGCAGAATTTGTCGGTCCCCGATCCCTCCCCGCGTGCGTGCAATTAGAGCGTGCGCGAACCGGTTCAATGCGAGAAAAGGACGCATGAACGGGGCGAGAATGTACCGGTTTCAAGCTCTTTTGCGCGCGGTAATAAGCGTTTATGTAACGACTCCCGCGCGTAATACCGAAGCGGAATAACGCGTCCGACGTTAACCGCCCCGATCGGGAATTTTGTCCCACGATCCACCGCCGCCGAGAACATTGGTCGCGGCGAGTCGGGGGATGCAAATCGACGTTTCTCTCGGTCCACTTTACGCCTTTTAATAATTCAGCGCCCGACTTACTTGCTTTCGAAGATACTCGGCCGCGACGAGCGTAACGCGCCGCGGGAACGAGCGGAAAGTGGCGATCAATAGCGCGGAGTGGATCTTGCCGATCCACTCCACACTATTTACTCGACTTGATTACCGATGATTGCCGGCTTTCGCGCGAATGGTCGCGCGCTAGATCCGCGCTTAACTCGCCGTCGCGTCGAATATGCACGCGCCTGGACGCGGCTAAATCGCGGGTAACCGTGTCGGATCAGGCCGGAGTACCGTTTCCCGGGGAGAAGCCATCGATCCCCTTTTTCATTTCCCAAACGCGACGGCAACGGGTTTTATCGCCCGTGCCGTAAAGCGAGTCCCGAGTCGCTGAATTGTGCGGCAGCATAATTCAGCATGGATCAGGGACGGCGAGCGGGCGAGCGAGCGACCGACGAGAGCTGCGGAGGAGGAGACCGATCGGGCGCAGCCACCGAGTGTGACTTACGTCCTGCCGTTTGTGTTTAGGTGTCGTCGCATTTGTCGGTGACGATCTACGTGGAGGATATAAACGATCACGCGCCGCAATTTGTCGACGCGCCTTATCACGTGACGGTGGACGAGCTTACGCCAGTCGGTGAGATATATTATGCCCAACAGCGATATCATGAATCGCCCCGAGTGCCGGATAATTAATAATTCTCAGCCTCCCGTTTGCATACACGTCGCGTAATCCACGATCGCGGAAATAAAATGTCACTCGCAGGCCACGGTCCGTTGCACCCCGCGCCGAACGCGATCTGACATTCTCTACGTTCCCCGCGATATTTCTCCGCGCAGCGTGTCGCCATATTAAATTCCATTTTTCCAAATTCTCGCCGCGAGTCGAGTCGCGCGCGGTTCTTCCCCTCGCGCCTTGTCTCGGCCTCTCCGAAATGAAATCGCAGGTGTGACGATCTGCCGCGGGATTCGCGCGCTGGATGGCGACCAGCCGAACATTACGCAATCGTCAAGGGAAGCGAGGCAAATTTTTCCTCGAATCCGGCCAAATCAAAATTCATTTTTCCAAATTCTCGCCGCGAATCGCGTCGCGCGATTTTTTTCTCGTCTCTCCGAAATATCGGTGTGAAGGATTCGAAATGAAATCGCAGGTGTGACGATCTTCCGCAGGATTCACGCGCTGGATGGCGACAAGCCGAACACGTCCAACAATGACGTCTATTACGTTATCGCGAAGGGAAACGAGCGGAGAAAATTGTTCCTCACTGAGAAAAATTTTCATCGGACAAACCAATTAAATAGTGTTTCCGATGGTCAACTTTTCCGATTTAAAGTAATGATTACGTCTGATGAAATGCAGTTACCGATGAAATTTCATCGAAAAACCGATCACATTTTTCACCGGATATATCCGTTTGTTATTATGTAATTAGATTTCCCGATTATATTTAATCGGACATTTTTCTCAGTGCTCGGATCCGACCAGCGTCAAATTCCATTTTTCCAAATTCTCGCCGCGAATCGAGTGTCGCGCGGTTCTTCTCCTCTCTGAAATATCAGCGTGATGGATTCGAAATGAAATCGCAGGTGTGACGATCTTCCGCGGGATTCACGCGCTGGATGGCGACAAACCGAACACGCCCAACAGCGACGTCTATTACGCTATCGTGAAGGGAAACGAGCAAGGCAAGTTTTCCCTCGAATCCGGCCACAGGACCGCCCTGATACTCCGGAAGCCGGTCGACTACGACAGCGGGGATCGCGAATTCGTCCTGGTTATTACTGCGACCGTGAGTAACACGACGTATCTGAGAGAGAGAGAGAGAGAGCGCGCGATGTAATACGCGCTTTACCTTCTTACGGCCTTATAGAATCTTGTTCCGCTGAATGCGAAAAGTTAAATGACCGTCGCGTTCTGCGACAGCCAGCATATTGCGAGAAATTGCAACTCAGCAATGAATGACAAACCGGACTGGTTTGCAATAGTAATTCTTGACGTAACGCATGATGCAATTCCTTAGGATCGCGGCGTCCCCGCCAGAAGTACGAACAGCACCGTAAAGATAACCGTCGTGGACAACGATGATCTTGATCCGAAATTCACGCGGGACATCTACAAGGCGAAAATTTACGAGTTTTATCCTATGCCGGTACGATTATGAAAGCTATTCTTACACATCACGCGAGGTGTTTCAGTAATTTCATTATCCCGAACGTATTGGAATTCATGTAGGTGGAACTAAGGCCTGTGTCCATAATGCCAGAACTTGGATCTAGTGCCAACACATCGTGGACACAGGCCTTTAAAGATGCGGAGTCGCCTACTATACAAAATTCAATTTAAACGAGATTTTCCTACTGTGCAGAAACTTAAATGTGACTTGTGTGCATGTGAAACTGAAAATTGAGATCAACGAATGTTTTTCGAGTTTGGCCTTCTATGATTTGAAATATTCAAGAAAGACATAATAGAATTCAGGAAGAAAAATTAACAACATTTTTTAGACACCTCGCAAAGTTGCAGTTAACAATTATTTTTTCAACGCGATATTTTCAAATACTGGAGTACGATGTATTTTCCTTTCGCAGGAACATCCAATCTTCACAGAGATAAACTTTACTAATCCGATCCACGCGGCCGATCGCGATCGCGACATTAACGTGCCGGTGCGATATGACATAATATCCGGCAACGAGAGGGGTTTCTTTCATCTCGATCCGAAGAACGGCTCGTTGTTCCTGAAACGCGCGATCGACCTGGACGCCGAGCGGAGCCTGCCGGGCAACACGTTCAATCTCCAGATACACGCGTCGCAGGTGGACAACCCGTTGAAGATGACCGTCGCGCGGGTCGAGGTGGAGGTGCTGGACTTGAATGACAATTTGCCGCAGTTCGAGGTCGATCTGTACAACATCAGCATCGTGGAGAACCTGCCGAACGGCTTCAGCGTGCTGCAGGTGATCGCGCGCGACAAGGATCAGGGCGAGAACGGGGAGTTCGATTATCGGCTGGAGGACCCATCGGGCGCCTTCTCCGTGGACCCGGACTCCGGCTGGCTCACCGTCAAGGATCAGACGGTCCTGGACCGCGAGAAGCGCGATCATCTGAAGATGAAGGTCTACGCTGTCGAGCACAGGCCGAGCGTCGTCGTGACGAGCGACGGCTCGAAGGGGTCCTCCGTGGACGTCGAGATCACCCTGCTCGACGCCAACGACAACAATCCCATCTTCGTGCCGGGCAATCTTTACGAGCTGGTGGCGAGGAGCGACGTGAAGGTCGACACCGTGTTGGGCCAGGTGCACGCGGTGGACGACGATCTGGGCCCCAACGGATTGGTCCGCTACCGATTGCAGAAACCCGGCAACTCCACGCTCCGGAAACCGCCGTTCACGGTGGACGAGAGCACCGGCCTGATCACGGTGTCGGAGAGCCCAATACTCGAAGGGAGACACGCGATATTTGTGGAGGCAGCCGACCAGCCGACGAATCCCAGCGAGAGGAGATTCTCTTTGGCGGTGGTCACGGTGGACGTTTTTCGAGCGGACGGTGAGTAAGCGGCGCGAAGACAGTGATGGACGTAACAGACAAACTGTCTAATTAATGTAGATATGACCATGGGAGAATATGTTAATTAATTATAATTTTTTTTCGTTCGAAACTGAATGAAAATAAATGTCGTTGCTTGGTGTTACCTAGTTTAGAAATAGCTCGTAGGAAGAGAAAACGTTCAGGTGTAAATTGTTCGCTATTTTTCCACTGTTCATTGATGAGATCGTTATTTCTTTAAGAACATGTAGACGACTTAAATAGCTTCTGAGGATTTGCCTTTCGATATATGCGCCGGTAGACATTCTCGCTTGGTAATGCTCGTATACCTTCACCGAATCGTTGTTATCCAACATTCGTTGGCTTCAGGTCCGAATGCATGGGAACCGGATTTCGTCGGCGCGCCCTACGAGTTCTGGGTCGGTGGGAACGTGCCCGTAGGTACCAGCGTCGGACAGATTCGCCTGAACGACGCTGTCAAAACTAATGACCTCATCTACGATCTTCTGCACAGTTACGAGGAGGGAGGTACGTATGTGTACGCGACGAGCGACGGCGCGCTGTGGATTATTTAATTGCTCCATAGCGCGCGTAGGACTTAAAAGCTACGCACGTCGCGACTTCTTAACGCTCGCGCGGGAGATATTCCCAGGTGCGTCCTAATTTCAATACGCCGCGCTGCCGCCGCCGCCGCCGCCGTCACCGGAAACACGCGATGCGCAAAATGCCTATATTACTCATGCAAATGCGTAACACATGCTGCATACATATACGATGGGATTTCAGTTCCATTTGCCGTGGAGGAACGCTCGGGCACGATAACGGTCGTGGAGGAGATCGAGCGCTTCGACCGTTCCACGTACGACTTCGAGGCGATCGTCAGCGACGAGAGGGAACTATCGCTGATTACGAACGTTTCGATCCACGTGGTGGATCCGAACGACGACAGGGGTATCTTCACCAAGTGAGTGAAACCACGTAACACTTGCCCTTAATGACCACTTTGGACCAGCGGGAGGCGCGCCGAGTGTCCCCTCCCGCCTTTTCTTTAATTATTCGTTACGTTGAGGTAACTTCGCTAATTCGCGATTAATCAATCCGATTGATTGATTTACAGGCCATCAGGTATCTGTCAAATAAATTATGTCATTGTCGAGTTACGTGGCGCGTGTTGGCGCACTTCTGCTGACGAATCGTATTATTTCTCGCAGTCACAGCCCCCGGGTATCGCTGTTAAGTAACATCCTTTACGAGCTCGTGTCTTGCCGCGTCTCCTCAATGTATCCTCTTCTCGCGAGATCAATACGACAGATTTGCCGACTGACTTGGCCGAACGCGTCCGAAAGGTCAAAGGTCCCTGCGACTCGGGTGAATACCATTTGCTTGTTCGAAAGTCGACGACCGTTGATTGCAGGGGAACGACCACCGCTCCTCTGGCTTTTCACGTGAAGGAGAATGTGCCCGGCGCATTGATCGGCCAAGTGCTTCCGCATAATGGCACGACGGCGGCTATGTCCGGTACTCAGTTCCTTATCGTCAATCAGCAGGATGTGCCTGATATCGCCATTATGGGCGACGGTTCTCTCTACGCGCCTCAAGGTCTGGACCGCGAGGCAAGGGAGAACTACAGCATCACCGTGATCGCCGAGAGCTTGCGCGGCGTGGGCGTGTTCCAGGTGAGTTTATCACTCGTAAATCGAGCCGCGAGCCGCATTTCGGTATTTGTCCGCTTAATCGTCGGATTTATGATCCCCCAGGTGCGAATAATCGTGGACGACGAAAATGATCACGCGCCGGAATTCACGTTGTCCGCCTACGAAGGCCGGATTATGGAGAACAGTCCTGCCGGAACGGAAGTTACTTTGACAAATCCGATTGCGGCGGACGATAAGGACGAGGGCGAAAATCGGGACTTCACGTTTGCGTTGCGGGGCGACGGTAGCAGCCTGTTCAGGATCGATCCGATAACGGGCCGAGTGTACTTCGAGGGCACCGACGACGGCACTCTGGATCGCGAGACAAGGGCGAACTACGAGTTCCGAGTTACCGCCACTGACAGCGGTAAGTCTACCTCTGTTAATCCGCATTTCCATTTGACACTCAGGGTTGCTTTTTCCAACCTCTCGATAAACTGAAGCTAAGGCTCCATAGACGCGTTGAGCTGCGGCAACGCGTGCGGCAATGCGAGTCTACCAATTGCTTGCCGCAAGCTTTTTGCGTTGAAATTAAAATCGTTTGATTCGTTGCCGCACGCGTAGCCGCAGTTCAACGCGTTTGTGGAGTCTCAGCTTAATAGTTAAATTCTATGTCTATCTTTGTTTAATTCGAAGGAAAAACAAAGACACACGTACGATTTAGCTATTAGTTAATTTACCGAAAGATTGGAACCACCGGTTCCCAAACGGTGAAAGTAAGTTGTTTTGATCTCGCGCCCAGGCGGACTGCAGTCGGAGAGCACTCTGAGGATAGCGGTGCTCGACGCAAACGACAACGCCCCGAAGTTCATACGGATGGTGGTCCTGCCGGATCAAGGGGTGCGCGTGTCGTATAATCCGAGCGACGACGCGTCCGCCGAGATAGGAAGCGACGAGGCTCAACCCGAGAGTTCGGTGGACGGCGGGCGGCGCTCGCCGTTACTGCTGGTGCCGGAAAACACGACGATCGGCGTGCCGATAATACGTCTGCTGGCGGACGACAAGGACGAGGGGGCGAACGCGGCGATAACGTACAGCCTGGGGAACGAGACGACGTCGAACGGGGTTCGATCGCGTCGCTACGACGCGACCAGCCGCCGCTACTTCCACCTTGATCCGCGCACGGCCGAGATATCCGTTGCCCGCAGCCTGCCGCCCGAGAAGGATATCCGGCTGTTCGTCCTGGCGAGGGACTCCGACGGCCTCGCGGATAACATCACCGTCAGAGTCCACGTGACGGACGTGAATGACCACGCGCCCGTTTTCGATAAGTCCTGGTACACGTTTGACGTAGCCGAGGGCACGTATCTCAGCCACGCGGTCGGCACGGTGCAGGCGCTCGACGCCGATTTCGGCGAGAACTCTGTCCTCAGTTACGAGCTGATCACCAGCCACGAGGACTCCGGGCGAGCCAGCAACTGGTCGCGGTCGTTCCAGGTGGATCCGTACGAGGGAGTGATACGGGTGAGCGGGATACTCGATCGAGAGAAAGCCACGACTCATCGTCTTCTCGTGATCGCTCGCGATCAAGGCCTGCCGAGTCTGAGCTCGTCCGTGGAGGTGGAGATAAACGTGTTGGACGTGAACGACAACGCGCCGACGTTCCACGGCTACGACGAGCTGGAGGAAGGCGATCGGCTGCCGGTCTACCGGGTCTCCGTTCTTGAGAACAGCCCGATCGGCACGCAAGTTGCCAAGGTGTACGCGAACGACAGCGATTTCGCCGGCAACGGCAACGGATTGATCCTGTTCGATCTGAGCAACCAGGATCACGCGGACAAACAGTATTTCGCGGTGGACAGCAAGGAGGGCATTGTCACGACCATCGCCAAGCTCGACTACGAGACCAGGAGCAATCATCGTCTGATCGTCACGGCGAGCGATCTCGGTTCGCCGATCAGTTTGACCTCCTCGGCCGTGGTGCTCGTCACGGTGTTGAACGTCGACGATGACGAGGAGGCGGACAACGAGGTGCACAAGATGCCGACGTTCCGGCATCGATATTACGAAGTGGAGGTCGACGAGAACGCTTCTCTGCCGTTGCTGGTCGCGCAGCTCGAGCTCACCGACGATCGCCACGCCGATTACATAAGATTCAGCGTCGTGGCTGACGGTTCCGACGGCAGGGAGCACTTCTCGGTCGATCCCAAGAACGGCTCTTTGTATCTGATGACGGAGATCGACCGGGAGACCAGAGATCGGTACGAGACCAAGGTCAGGGTTGATCGATTGAAGCTCGGCCGTGGCATACCAGTGATGATCTACCCGGTCGTTGGTGAACGGCTGAATGGACTGGCGCCTAATGAAGCCAGAGTGGTCGTCAGAGTGAAGGACGTGAATGACAACGCGCCCAGATTCAAGACAAAGGACAGGCCCATCCTCGCCGCTATACCCACCACTGCTCATTACGGTTACGAGGTCGTCAAAGTGGAGGTATGTATGCGCGTACGTGGGCGCGAGTCAAAGCGAGTTCGTTTTAATTCATTTTGCTTTTTACGCCACTATAGTCTTGCGCGCATCCTTTCCTCTTACCTTCTCGTATCCGTATCCTTGACTCTATCCTTTCGGATTTTATTTCCGCAGCAGCTTCTCGCGGTAGATTCCTTTTGTTGTCGTTTATACATAAACCACTTCATTAATCGCGGCGTAACCCGGAATACGCTGATGAAACGAGTATTCGCGGTAAGTCGCGGCAGAATTTTTGTTCGACGATCGGAGAATCGCCGAGTTAAAGATTTGAAGCGCTTCGAAAATCAGCCATCAGCTTTACTGGAACTTATTTGGACGCGCTTGGCGGCTCGCAGGCGGAAGACCCGGACCTGGGGATAAATGGCGAAGTGCGCTACCAAATTCTTGGCCGGGAGGACGCCCCGCGTTTCGCCATTGACCCACTCAGCGGTCAAGTGCGATCAGTGGCGAGTTTTGGCCGCGATGCCGGTCGCGTCTTCGGTTTCGACGTCAAGGCCACTGACAGGCAGGGCGCCGAGAACGGGCGCAGCAGCATCACCAACGTTTTCGTAAGTTCACAATTGTGCACTCCCACGTACTTCGCGCGCGGTGTATCTTAATTACTCGCCGTTAGAGATAGCGCCCGGGCTAATTTCCCCGCGAGGAAATGGGATGTTTCGAGAGGCGGAAGCTCCCTCGCTTCCTCTCGTTTCACTCGGTGCCGACCTTGACAGTTTGCATTGCCATCCGGTGGTGTATCTCGCTCTTGACCTCGTAGGTGTACGTGTTGGACGATCAGAAGCAAGTCGTCATGGTCATGGGCCGGAAGCCCATCGAGATCGAGCCGGAGCTCGACAACATCACTGTGTAAGTTCCGTTTCGCGATATCGCTGGCGAACACGGCGAGTCACGTCTACGAATTGTCTTTCAGCGCGTTGCAGAATGTCACCGGCTTGGACGTGCGTGTGAGGAAGCTGGAGCCCCACATCGAGAAGAACCTGATCGACGGGGCCTCGTAAGTGATTTGTTCGATACAGGGGGTGATCTCTCGTCCCCAAAATGACGATCGCTCGTTGTAGCTTGAATTATTTTTCAGTACCGACGTTTACCTGTACGCGATCGACCCACATCTGAATGTCATGGTGGACATGGAAACTTTGCACAGGTGACCAATCGAATTTTTATCCTTTATTCGGAGAATATCTCAAAGTTCTTATCTGCATCTAGCACACTGTTATTAATCAATTGAAAATCGTTTCCTCCAACAATTTAACGCATTAGACGAATTGTTGAAAATGAAATTAATATTTGATGCAAAGTTTTAAAAGCGAGCGTCAGTTGTTTTGCAATTTTTTTTTCCAATGGTTCTTGGTATCCCAAATATCGCAGCAAACCTGACGTTTCAATAATATATGTACGCGCGACTTTTTAGCGTTTTTAATAACAAGAAGGCGGACATAAAACGCGAACTGGATGAATATCGCGTGCTGGAAATCGCTGGTAACGCTCCACGTAGAAGTAATCAGCGTTACTTGCTGTCCACCCTCGAAGTGGGCGTCGTGGTACTCGGCTGCGTCGTCTTCGTAGGCGCCCTCGTGACCGCCCTATGCGTTACCTGCGTTCGTCGCAACAAACGGTACGCGGAATATCGTTTTGCTCGCTCGCCATCTCGCCTAAGGTCAACACAACGCTCATCCACGCTGCCATACTAACTCCTGGACATGTTGGCTAGAGGGTCTTATCATTTCCTTCTTCTTCTTCTTTTCTACACTCTCGTATATCGAAAAGTTCAACTATTGTCTATTAACAATTATTAACATATATTTTATTACTCCATCTAAACTCTATCGCGCCGCTTAATCATGCAAGAAAAGATTCCGGGACGGAATGGAGAATCGAATCGCTTCGGTGTCTTGTTGGCATCGGTTAATTTGAACGCCAATTGTCTTTTTATCATCGTCACAAAGTGCGCGTCTCGATTTCCATCCGTTAGTCGTAGACGACGAGACCAGGCCATGTTCTCGACGGTCGGCCCGGTCGGATTCGCTCTGACGGACCCCGCCGGCACTCTGCAAAAGCCGCCGCTCTTTCCCACCTTCGTCGACGGCCTCCATTACGATCCCGAACCCTTCTGCTCCGAGATGCCCAGACGACAGAGCATGTGCGAGCACGGAAATTGCGTCCGCTTTCACACGTAAGTCCGATCTGATTAAAGTTTATTAAAAGTATGAAATTTGGCGCGGCCTTTTACCAGATGTTTATGACAATTTTTTATCGTGTAAAACTTCCGTACGTGAGTTTAACCAATTAAGATATGATAATTTTAGAGATTATAACGTCTAAGCTTTATTGGCGTTCTATTTTTTTTTTCTTTTAAAATATACATGAGCGGTCTCAGTTTCTAGAATTTAGTCAACGTTTCGCGAAAAGGGACAAGTTACCGTTTCATTTAACATTGCGTTTCTTCATTTGCATTTCCATTTCAATAAAAAACACGACCTTGTATCTATAAAAATAATTTGCAAGAGATCCTTTATGTATAAATACACACTCGTCTATCGATGAGATCAATAATTGTGACACCGGCCAAACTCGCTCTATACTTTTGATAAAAATCTGTATTTTTTTTTTCGAAGAAGGCCGATGTTAGGAAATTGGAGTGCAATTGTGTAATCGATACGTCCAAAAACTTGCATAGATTTATCTCTACGTATATAGATTTACCTCTGTGCATAGATCGGGAGATAGTATCGGGAAATTTCTGAGAATGTTACGACATAGACACCGCTGCTACGGGTTATTTTCAGGATGAGCGGAGGCGGAAAACACGCGGTGAGGACAACGGGTACCTTGAAAGGCCTCGAGGCATCCGCGACATCCTTGCATTCCAGTGGTCAGGACTCCGGTATCGTAGCGCGTACCTCTTGTCATTGCAGTCACTCGTCCAGTCCTTCCAGCGGCGAGAGCAGCAAGTAAGTTGAGTTTCTAAATACAGGTTCTCGTCAGTCGAATGCGGTTTCCCCGATAGAAGGCTCGTGTCTGCTCAAATCGTGTCGAATTCGGTCGCATTTTAACGAAGAAGGATAACGAATTACAGAAGTGGGGAATAACTAAATATATTAACAAGCAGAAATTATAGAAATATACGGGAAATAAGAGAAGTGAGAAATTTAATTGTCCGAATAGCATATTTTAATCGCCGTGTAACAAATAGTTTCGCTCATCCCAACGTAAAACGCCCGCATAACTGTCTCACCAATTAACTTGACACGAGCCTAATTTTTCTCACCCTCCTCCCCCCGTGGCAAATTTTTCTTCTATTTTCTTTTAGCGGGTACGAAGACTCGCTCAAGTCTCTTCAGCGTCGCGAGAGATGCAATGACGTCTCGCGTGGCAGCCACGATATCTCCAGCGTGGTCGGGAGACGTGCAACGGCGGCGAAACGGCGGCAACGCTTCCACTCCTTCTCGAACGGCGAATCCGTCTATACCCACGAGATGACCCTGCAGCAGCAGCAGCAGCAGCAGCAACAACATTGTTGCGTCGGTACCGAGAAGAGACGGAAGGCGGAGCATCGCCGCGCTCATTCCGAGGCGGAGAACAATATCACCGAAACGGTGATACACGAACACCCGGGCACGGAGATATCGTTAGCGAGCTCCCTACCGAACACCATTCACGGTAGGTCGATATCGACGAAAATTGACGAACGTGCGGAGAAAAAAAGCGCAAAAAATCTCATTGTCGAACTTTAACGCGGTCCGTAATGGTGCGCGTCCGACAAAATTGAACAGATAGTCAATTCGCAGGTACATCAAGAACCAGCCACATGCTCTACTAGCAGCGTCGATTTGTAAAAAAAAAAAGGGGGGGAGCTTTCAAGGAGCACCAGGATACAGCGGTTGCGAATATTTCTATTCGGCAATTTAACGTCCTTCCTGCGAATTCGTGTACAAATTGTTGTACATTGTGTGCTCACGGCGTGTCATCTCGTTGCCAAAGTATTCGTACGTCGTTAAAGCCAGGGAATCATTCATTTCTGTAAATACACGGCATCGCCTTCGGTATTCGATCTTCCACGTCCTTTTTGATTAATCGAGATAACGGCGCGGATTAGCAGTTGTTGCTAAGATTATTTATCGCTCTGGTATTATAATGCGAGATGCAAACGTTTATGTACAATATAATATTAATATATTGCATATTAATATAATGTCTTGTAATTATAATGTAATTTGTTGTACTTATTAATATAATTCGTTGTACAGATACATCTTGCGAGTGAGTCCGTGTCTCGATGGGTTATTACCCTGAACTATTATTTAATACATGTACGTATATGTACGTTTGTGTAAAATGTAACAAAGTGTAACATACATGTAATTTATGCCCTAATCTAGCTGTCGTTATTAGATAAGATTTCATAAAATGTTTAATACGAGTAATATATTTTATTTTTCGCTTTTATTCTAACACGAATGTCGGCCATTAACTCAGTTCGATTAATGGTCAACGTTCTATCTTAGGAACAAAATTTTATTATAAATAAAATGACGTTAAAATAATAAACAGCCGCCCCTTAACTTCTTAAAGATGGATCGTGACGCTCTTAGTCGTAAGATTTGTAAAAATTGGTTTCTTTAAATATTTATTTCGGTATCGTGCGAGATTTTTAGAAATTAAATTGTGATTTAATTAACATTTTTCACGCTTTAATTATAGCTCCCTTAGTGGGGTCGAAATATGCTGCTGTGCATTCACGGGCGCAATCACAGCCGTCGTCAAGCCCCGACCTTCGAAGACTCGTCAACGCCGATATCCCGCAATTCCTCTCAAAGTCCTCCCCGACGTCTGAGGAATCTCTCTACTTAATTAAATCAGCGTGGGTGTTTTAATTACGATAAATCAAATCAGGGCGCAGGCGCGTTATTAATTCCTCTTTAAAGGGGGATATCGGAAGAACGCACTGGTGTAAATTATTGATGCTGCCGGGGTGCAAGCGAGCAAAGTCGTTTCTGATCGTCTTTTTATCGCGATTTACTGGAGATGATGGACGATTGTCTATCCGTGCTCGTTTTTAAAACGCTGCGACAAAAACGTTCTTTCTTTGCCGACCGCAGCAAGAACAACAACCAATACCATTTACGGAAGAGACGCCCTGTTGCAAGAACATTCTTTCTCAGTAATCACAATATCGCCAACTTTTTAACGTAATTACAGTAAGTGAAATTTAATCGCTTCCACCGGGAGGAATAATCAATAATCGTTTCAATTTTACCAACCGTCAACATTCTTCTCAACAGTTATCCTCTTCAATTTTCAGACACATCATCTTGCCGATTAACGTATTTGCGAATCTTTGGACCTTCATCTTAATCGTAATATCCTTGGAAGGAGAACAGCGGTTCGGTGACTAAACACGGGTGCGGATCCAGAGGGACGTTCTCGGGACACCCCTAATACGTTCGGTAAATAAGTTTTAAGCGCCCGATCGAGCGCTCAACTGAATCAAATTACGCCATCGATTACGGGATCAGGTTGGCGCACGGCTTAAAAGGTCACCGATTAACGTTGCCGACCTCGACCTCGGCTGGCAGGATACGGGGACGATGTGCGGGACCGCCGCGTGCCTCGCGCCGATAGAAATCACGGTTCCCGGTGGAGAAAATAGGAAAGGATTCCGTGACGCGCGCGGCATGGCATTAGGTATCTAATATTTCACTCAAGTATTCGAATAACGCTCTCGCAGGACCTGAGTTGATGAAACGGCTCGGTCTCACAAGACGGCAAGGCCGTGACCTTCGTCTCTGCCTCGGAGACCCCGGCCCATTCCACCCTCTTCCGCTTTTCTTTCATTTAGCCGCGACTTTAGAGGGACAACCCGTCACTCTCCTCTGTCGCGCTAGCTTCGGATTGGAACGCGATCGCTCAGCAATCGATTTTCGGAACATCGTTAACTCTTTAATTAAATAAATAATGAACTTAATTACAGTAAACGTAGTTCGACTGCTGCCTCCGTGAATACTCGATAATCGTTTCACTAACCCATACAGCACGCATGTCTAAAAGACATCTTTAAGACATCATTAAGTCGTCTTTTAGATATACATATCTATGCGTGCTGTATGGGAATGTCTTTTCAGAAAAATAAGTGGCGCGTCTTAGGCCAGGTTTCCACCAACGTTGTTTAAGCTTGCAATTAGCTTAATTCGTGCCTTGTCTCTTTTCAACTGTTACTTTAGAAAGAGACAAACATGAATTGAACCAAGATCAAAATTAGGCGACGTTTGGTGAAACCGGGCCTTTAGTGTCTACCTCCTCGAAGATACACTCCTATTTGTTATCAAAGTTGGGAAGTAACTCGTTACTTGTAACGAAGTTACAGTTACAGTTACTTTTTTTCTGGCAACTCTAACTTAACTTCCTTACTTTCTCTCCATCCGTAACTGTAACTAAACTCAGTTACACTTTTTCGATAGCTAGTAGCTAATTTAATAGTTACATTAGGAGTTACTTTATATATATTTTAAACCTCCACAGATCGCATTAGGCCTTGCGTTCGCGCATAAACGCCTTTATCGACGCTTTACAATTCAAAGGCAGATTTGATATTTTTATTGCAAGTAACTGCAAAGTAATGATTCGTTATTTTTTTAGTACCTGTAACGCGTTACTTTACAGAATTGGTAACTTGCCAAACAACACGTATGTCTAAAAGGCATCGTCAAGACGCCTTTAAGTAATCTTTTAGATATGTATGTCCAAAAGACGACTTAAAGGCGTCTTAAAGACTTACATTTTTAACAAGAGTTACATTTTTACCAAGCAAACTGCAAGTGTAACTATAAGATACTTTTATAAAGTAACATTCCCAACTCTGTTTATTACTATGGATTTCATATACTGTGGATCACTATATGGCTTTATACGCTATTTCGATAATTAATTTATGCACGCGAGTCGCTGTGCAATTATAGCGTACAAATTTGAGGGTCGCCGAAGATCCCGTTGGAATAAATTTCAAGACGGAGACGAGAAGGGATTTTAATCAATAAATGGAGAGGCGAGGGAGTCGCATGTAATTTGGTCCGGTCACCGAGACGAAATTCATCATTTCGCGCCGCCCAAGAGGGACGCTCATTCTTGTACGAGCACGTTCGCAGCATTAGCGTCTTCCCGCGCAGCGCGTTGCATCATGAATACGGTACACTTAGGTGGAAAATGCACGTCGAGCGGCCGGCAACCGCTGGCCCGCGCCCGGAAAACACCCGATGGACTCTCGCGGGGACTCTTAAGTATCGATCCGCGGGAAAATGAATGACTTGTTTCGTGCCCCGGGCGTCAAGGCGGGCTAATTCGCATATTCAATCGTATGCATTAGGGCCGGGCTATTAGGCGCACGTGAAGCAGCACGACGGCGGCGGCGGCCAGCAGCAGCCGCAGCCCGAAACTCGATCGCTTTGCGATTACACGCGGTTCGGTTCCCCAATATCGCGCCGAAGGTTACGGGTCGCGTGTCACACCGGTTGACACGACGACCTTGCCCTTAAACCCCTACGCCGGCCGCGCGTGATTAAAGGTCCATCGAGTTTCGCACGAGAAAAACGACGGCGGGGACCATCTTCGATCAACGGGCGACTCCCGAGGCCCCGGGCCGGGGAATGCCGGTTTAAAATTGCCCGAAATTCTTCCGCGATAGTTCCGCCACGAGCGATTAATTTGCGAATTCCCGCGGCCCCCGCGGATAGTCGCGGGCGAGAAGGACGTAAGGTCGCAATGGGGCGGAGGGAAGGACGCGAAGATCCGCTCGCGGGGCGGAACGGGACCGAGACGAGGACCAAAAAAAAAAGGAATGAAGATGAGCGCGAGAGCGAGGCGAACGATTTTCAAAGATTTTTCACTGAAGGTCAGGAAAATGCATATGGAACGAGCGCTGCGCTTACTCGACGGGGACGAGAAAGAGACTCGCCCTGCTCGACGGCGCGCGAGTCACCTATATGCAGTTTACACTAACGAAGGGAGCGTCCTTGTCTCATTGTGTGCCGAGGGAAGGAGATCGTCGCCGAGATCGCCGGCGAGAGATCTGAACAGTCTCTTTTGAGATTCTCGCCGGGATAATAGCGACGGGGTTGAAAGTGGATTGCAGCGGGGGAGGAAGAGCGAGAGGGGACACCGATAATTCTGTCGCCCTCTCCGCACTGCGTCCAAGCGTCCCGAAAAATATCGCCGAGGAGTCTCGGGCGCGACGTCTCCGCGCGTTAATACACTTCGATTGAAAAGAAGAGCGCGGCTACAAATGACGCCGTTTTAAAAAGATGCAAATCGGATTTAGCAGCCACCCGGAGATAACTGACGCGTCATGGCGTCAATAATAATTGCGATCCGATAATCCTGAATCCTGCGGATCTTTTCTCTCTCTCTCTCTCTCTCTCTCTGTCTGTCTCGCACTAGCTCGCTCGCTCTCTCCCTTCAGCTCTTTCCCTCTCGTTCTCGCTACGAGACAATCCGGCGATAAATTCGAACGGCACAGCCGGATCTCCGGTTTTCCGTTTAGCGCGACAGAGAATTATCGCTCTTCGAAGAGAAACTCGAGGGTCCGCTCGTGCTCGCCGGATTCGAAAACGCTCACGCGAGCTCGAATCCGGGTCTTAACCGAGCCCGCCAATAATGCAGTTTTCCATCGCGCCACTTCGGAAATCCTTTTCGTGCGATTACGTGTATACATCATCCGGGCCCCGGCGAACCGGTTGCGAACCCGTCGACGAGGTTGGCTCCCCGGGAGTTCGTTTAACTTTTTCCCGCCGGCGTTCGCCGGTGGAAAAAGTCGATACCCCGGGCCTGCATCGTCATCGCATACTGCAGTCGGAACCGTCGACGATGGCCCGAGATTTATGATCCGTTCCCTTCCCCTCAAAGTTTTCACGCTGGGCTTTCTACCGCCCCGTTGTCCCAATCATCCTTCCGCTACCCCGCGATACGGCTCACAATCTTCTATCGCGGATAAGGAAGGTAATCTCAGTCATGTGAAACCGCAGGCACACGAGAATGTAGCACGGAATAGACGGCCATTTCGACGGGAGCCACGGAGCCCGATACGCGGGGGAGAATGACAGCTACGTCGCATTATGATTTTCAACATTGATATTTTTCTTCCCCACTTCATTCCGCAAGGCCATTTTCTTTTATGGGACGGTTGTATTAAGAACGCGATAGGACGAAGTACGAGGTATCTATCTTGGCGATAAACGCGAAGTACGAAAAAAAAGGGAAGAAAATTACCTGTCGCCATTTTTCGCGAATTTGCGTTTCCCCGCGGTATAAAATGATCGAAGAAGTCCTCCTAATATTAGGAACGTTTCGTAGATTTGCAGGGCAGCTTTCCCTTTTGCAAATATTTGATTATATTTGCTTGTTTTCGTTATCACCGAAAAAATTGTGTTTTATTGTAACTTTCTATTATTTTTAATTATTGTTCCATTTTATACAACATGTGCAGCACTGGAGTTATCGATTATTTTCGATCGCTGGATTAAAGTTTTGGAAAACTGAACTTTTCCAGTTTTACGAACGCGACTATACATACAATAGAATCTTAGTTTGTTTTTGTCTAGCTTTAGGCAAATTTTCATATTTTAATATCAAATTTAAATGTAAATTTTCTTGTACTAAGATTAACATTATTTAGACTTATTCTAATAAAGTGGGGTCCGTAAAATGTAAGCAAATGAAGCAATTAAAGCTGTTGGCGCAACGTGCCGTTGTGAACATTATACAATTTCCAACTTTATAATAAGAGAGCATATAAGTAAATATGATGAGACTAAATACGATTTAGTAAATCGTGGTAGGGGAGGGACTAATCGACATTTTAATTGAGTTATCGGAGTAATCGCGTTGTAATCGATAACTTCATACGATACAGGTATCCCTCGGAAGAGGATGGCGAGATCTTTTTAATTTCCGCTAACGAACCAATTTGATAACTACTGGCACTTGGTAGAGCAATATGGCAGGCAGTAAGACGAGGAAGAAAATTTCGCCCGGGCGATTCGTTTCACCGAACGTCCTTGGCAGTAAGATTCAATTAGCCGCTTAGCTGTCGTCCGCAGCAACGTCGTTGTTCTAGAAGCCGGAAATTTGGGTAATTTCGCCAGAGTCATACGATCCTACGTAATCAGCGAAAGACAACGGTCGGTGGGCGTCGCGCTGCAAAAAAAAACCCGTAAACGAAATCGGGCTGACGAACGGAGAGACACAAGACGAACGACGTAGTATGGAAAGGAAGAGGGAAAGTGAGGACGGGGGAGAATTACGATCAAGTGGAAGAGAGAAAGAGATTAATCGAGGCTGCACACACGAGGCTACTCGCGGCTGTATTCGTCTCGAATGTGCGTCGCAACGCCCGCAATTGATCCGTCGGGCTGACAGTGAGCCGACACAGAGTGGATACGCCTTCGCCCTTCCGGAATTTATGTCGTGATTGTAACATTTACCCATGCATCTCACGGCGATGTTAGTTGCACAAGGAAACACACGTCTCTGATTTCGATGCGTTTTTTTTTATACATTACGCAACGATAGACATTCTGTCATTCGTTTTAAGTACTTTTCAAACCAATCAACTTTTATGAAAAATAACTTTCCATCTTTCGCAATTCTGATATTCGCTGCGAAAGGACGAAGAAGAGGTGTTCTACCCCTTGAAAATAAGGCACGTATAAAGAAATGTGTATCCTTATTTTGGTCTTGGATGTATTAAAAATTGATCAAACTCGGAGGGAGACACTTCCACGGGTTTCCTCGTTAGTCACGAATGCGTTTCCGCACGGTAAACACTTGGTTATTTTCAATTCGACGTACAATGCAGACACGTGACTAAAAATGTAACGTTTTATTGGATGTAAATAACAGGCACGTAGTCTGGAAGAGAGTAAACCATTAATTATAGTAAAAACAAAATACATACTCGCGAAATGGAGTGAAGTTTTTAAAATTTTATAACAAACCAATTTTTAATACAATGAGTAATATTTGACCGGTTTACGTGAATCACACCAATACTGATAGAAAAGTCTTCAGCTGGATCTTGGTGCCTAAATTTTTCTTTCGTACACAGTTTTTCTTCTTTACAGCAAGTTGTGCGCCGAATAAAATTTTTAGTCTTAAAACGTGGAAAAATAAATAAATATATCTCTAGAAGCGAATTGGATTCAACGCTTTAGCCATGATAGTTTTAACAACGTATTGTACTCGTCAAGTATCATATCACGGTAAAAGAGTCATCACTGCTCTTGAAAAGGTTTTCAGCGGTTTTAAATTTTACAAGTATTAGTTTTTAATGAGAGAATTGTAGTGGTCCTCTTGCAATTTTATTGTAGTGTGAATGATCAGTTTATAATCTTCGGTCTTAACATACTTCAAGCGCACGGTAAGAGATTATTAACGTCATTATTATCCAGTTCTTAATTTATCGACATCGATTGATTGATAATGTCCTGATAATAGTTGATGACTGTCGAGGTAACACGATTTTTAGGACCTATCAAAAAATTTTGCTGGGCCGTTTGGGAAAAATATCTATGTGATGTGTCTCAATCGTTGTTCAATTTTTCGTGAGCAAAGTTCGTCTTTCTGGGAATTTAGCACAGCATTTTTGCTTGTACCTTTGTTATACATTATTGCATGGCCTGATTTCTTGTCGCAATGGCGCCGCTCGTTCTATTTCTCGCAGGTTGCTGTAACCTTGCGAGCTTACAACAAATAGAGGGCACCTTTTTTCTCCAATATCAGACACAGGCTACAAATAAACTTTCAAAACACGTCGCGCGACACTTGACCGAGTGCAAAATATAGAGATTTTGATAGAAAGTGTCCAGTTGTGTCACGTACGAAGTACTGGAGTAACATACAGTAACGCACTAAACTGATCGAGTGTTTGGCAAATTATAAAAAGTTATAATCTCTTATTTTTCAAATATTCTGCTTAGATTCCTCTGACGTGTACAAATTATGCTAATTTGCTTTCGCCTGTCTAATTCCTTTTTCCTTCTTCTTCTTGTGTTAAAAGAACTTGTGTTAAAAGAAAATATTCCCGTACAACCTGCTCCCGCGCGCTGCCGCTACGCGGTTTATTTTTCCAATAAGACATGTGTTATTGCTTTACAATTTTAGATAAGAGGTAATTAAAGAACTTTTGTCAAATGTTTACGAGCAGACTTTCAATAGTGCAAATTAACATCGACAATTTATTTCTTAATAGAATTTTAATTTAAAGTACATTCAGTATTAACAAAGCACTCAAGATTAATTAAAAGTATAGTAAAGAATTTGACTTATTAATAATTTGTGATGATAAAATAAATGGAAGGGTATTGCAACTTTGCGAAAGGTAGAATTTAGAGACGTTTATCGGCCCCGTTTTTAAAGAAAGAAAACGAAACTTGCCGTCATTTCAAGACAGATATTCAACATGAGAAATTCAGTCGAAATTCTGTCGCGAGATAAGAAACACCTGCTACGGAAATATTTCAACGCCAATGAAGCGAGCCGCAAGATTCCTTTCAAACTACGTATTTTCGTTATCGCATATTTTCAGTAACTTTGCCTTATTTGTTACGATACCGTGAAATTAATCAGACATATGCATATCTTAATGATCTGTTATCTTTATGATTACCTTCACCATAAAGAAATAGCCATTAATCTTAAGGGACGTATTGACATCGTACGGGACAAGAATTTGAAAAGCTCACTTATTTCTTTTAGTTCAGTTCCAGTTAACATAAAAGCGGAAAACAAATGTTTTATCCATACGATTTAATTGTGAAAACGTGAAAATTAAATATAAAAACTGTAAAACTAGTTTCATTTTCCAGTGTACATTACACGCGGAGACAATTTTCTCTTAAAATTTACCCTGAAAATCGTGTAATCGTGGGACGACATGGCATTTCGAAGAAGTTTATGAGAATTTTACTAGTAAAACGTATGGTAAATTTCAAAAGAACTCTCATTAAATTCTTCGAAACGCCGTATTGTTCCACGATTACATGATTTTCGGGATAAATTTCAAGAGAAACATCTCTCCGTGTACATTTCGACCGAACAAAGTCTACGATTTATATTGTACATTTACGGAGAGAATAGAGCACAACAGATGTCTCCGTAACTATTCGAAACATTAGGAAAGTTGTTTGAAAGTTTTATATTCTGCACGACACGATAAAAAGAATTATATGTTGCATGTGTTTAACATCCCAAGAGTTTCTAAACCGATTAGAATGAGCTGTACGTTGAAATGTTAAACGTCAGATGCACATATGTACTGTAATTATTTAAATCGCTAAAAAAAAAGAAAAGTAATTAAAGTAATTAAAAATAATTATCGTAATGAATGCTAAATGTAGCATTTTTAAAGGTTAATTAGGAATCGTTCATCGGTTTAAATTCGTCAATTTGCTGACGACAATATGCCAATTAAACGATACTGTCCGAAAAGAAACCGGCGTACAGGACAAGTAGAAAAACGGTACATGAATTCACATATTAAAAATTATTAGACTATCTACATCTAGCTGGAACCTACACGACGTTCTCGTTTAATTCGTATCATAATGAACTTATTTAACTCTATTTAAAAATAATTAACAACGTCAGTGTTTTCTTGACCGCATCTGGCATTTTTAATAATACAGACAATTTATTGCGAAAAATATTACCTCAGCCAAGATTTGAGCCTGGACTTCCCTACGCTCTAGGCGGGCGTCCCACCAATTCGACCACTGAGGCATGCGGTAATATTTGTCGCAGTAACAGTTAAAGATGTTGTCTTCGCGTCTATTTTTTCGACTGTTTAACTACGCGCCGATAAGGGTTGTCGGCAGTACACCGTCGGAAGTCCAGGTTCAAACCCTTTAGCAGAAGTTAAACACGTGAATTATAAGAGAGGAGTGCTGGAATGACACCAAACTCGTTTTATTGTTAAAACAGATATTCATGGCTGAGGTAATATTTTGCGCAATAAATTTTCTGTATTATTAAAAATGCCAGACATATGGCCAAGAAAACACTGTTAATTACCGCTGGCGACATTTAAGAATATTCTCATTAGTCAAAAATAATTAAGTTAAAAGCATTGAGTGGAGGAAAAGGACATTAAAAAAATATATATATACAGGGTAAACGGAAAAGGGGGTGTTGTTTCCGAAGCATATCGCGCTCATCAGACCGACGTGAAATATTCATGAAACGCGTCCCTTCCGAGTTACAGCCACTTTTAGCACTGACTCCACGTCAGTGCAGCAACAGGACGTTTCGTTGACAGCGTCAAAACTGTGCAAATGTAATGTGTCCCTTTCCGGCTGCAGTTTTAGTTTTGGTTCTGACACATCAGGAAATTTTGAGCGCGCGTGTGCGCTTTCACGGAACGTCCAGCGATGCATTGAGCGCCCATAAAGGTCATCTTGGGCAGCTCTTGTACATACAAAAAAAAAAATCCACCCATTCTTTACCGGTCCCGTTCGTTTGTTGTATTTGAATAATCCGATTCGTCGTACGATTCATCACGAATTCAACACGCTTGGCATAATTCCTTTATCGCGCACGCGGCTTTGCAAAATATCGCCCCGCCGACAAATTCCCTTGCACGAGCGGTATAAAAATTCGATTACAATCCGGCTGATTATTATTTCTGCCACTTTAGATTCCACCCATAACTTGGACATAAATATCTCGTCCCTCTTTCCTTCAAATATTACCGCATTGTTATGCATCCGGAGTTTAATGCTACTTAATCAGTTTACGATCGAAGCGCGCGATTCCCTCGCTCCCTTTGCGGATCGTCGCGTCGTCGTCTCGCGGGAAGCTCGCGCTTCCTTTTCGCGACTTCGATATAAGCGCAATAAACGTGGACGATGCACTTGTACAAGCGCGCGCGCGGCAGAATCGCTTGGCGACATTTGGCCGAGGGGGTTGGCAAGGGGGATGAGAAACCCCCGACGGGGCGCCGAGTCGGCGATGCGAGCGATGCCAACGGCGAGGGGGAGGTAGGGGGCCCTTTACGAATTCGGCGCGCGTATTTCGGCAGAAATACGCACGGGGGGACGTGGACGCGGACACGCGCGACCGCTGTATGCGGGGCGGCCGGCGGCTCGTCGCGCGCTGTCATCGTCGCCCCGGCGCTCTTCCTCTTTTCCCGGCTTCGCATCGCCACAGTCTCGGCGCGGCTCTGCTCTGGGTAGTGCGCGGGCACGCTCGCATGCGGGTGCATGCGGCCGCTGGATGTAACGCTTGCGCAGTCGTCGAGCATCGCCAGACAGCTCGCCGCGACGGGTGCATCTCGCGGCAGTTCGCGGCCGTCCTCTAAGGCAGGTCCATTAGTCCGCTCAGCATCCCTCGGCCGCGGCAAATACATACATTTTTCACGCATCAACCCCCCACCCCCGCCCCCGTCGCTTCGCGATCCATTTCTCCCCCCGTCCTTCCGTCCCTCCCCCATTCCGTAGCACGAAGGATCACTCGGATCACCCGATCGCTTAGACCCGCGCTACTTCAATTCTCATCCCCGATCGAGTCCCTCCGGCTCGCCGGAGGGGTAGCTCCGGCTCGGATGGACTTGGGGCGCACGTGCGAATCGCGCTCGGCTGGATCGCGCATGTTCCACGACGTATCCGAACCACGCGCGTAAATAGCCCGCGATCGTCCGTAGAGATCGATGCCGGTTCCGAGAGAACGTCTTCCGGCACACCGCTGGCGCCCGAACGCGCCGGAAGCTGCCCCCCGCCGGCGTTGCACCGTCCCCGACGTTCGAGCGGCCGTTTCCGGGACCGTTGGCGCGAGTCCCTCGTGAGTTGGACCCGGAGGTGCGCGGCAGCCCCGTGGAAGAGGAAGCTACCGAGAGAGTGCGAGACGAGGCGACGTCGTCCGCCGCGACCCGGACGGGGGAAGGTCGCGGCGAGCGAGAGGCCGAGGGTCGGCCGGGGTTGTCGACACGGCGGCGAGCGCGCCTCGGAGGAGAAACGGCGGCGTCACGCCGCGTTAGCGTCTCGGCTAATGGTCGAAACGTCGATCCGTCACTTGACGCTCAAGTTCCCGATGCTGCAGCCACCGTCTCCCCTCCTGGAGATGGCGTCCCTGCGACTACCGGACTCGGAGGAGTTTGACGTTGACACGCGCCGCAGGAGTAACAACGGCAACGTGCCGGCCACGACAGTCGCGAGCGCGCCGCCGGGTGCCGGCACGCTGCTGCAGATGAGGAACGACCTCGGCGACTACCTCAACAACCTCATCACGGAGGCGATCGCGACGGCGGGCCCGCGCGCCACCATGGAGGACCAGGCCCACGGGTTGTTCAACGCCAGCAAGAATCTGTCGGCGATCGAGCACGCGCCCGACCGGATCTACAGGCACAGCATGGCGATGTCGGCGGTCTACTGCGTGGCGTACGTGGTCGTCTTCGTGGTCGGCCTGATCGGCAATAGTTGCGTTATCGCCGTGGTGTTCCGCTCGCCCCGCATGCGGACCGTCACGAATTTCTTCATCGTCAATCTCGCGGTGGCCGACGTGCTCGTCATCGTCTTCTGCCTGCCGGCCACGTTGATGAGCAACATCTTTGTCCGTGAGTATCGAGAGACACTTTGCTCCCGCGCTTTGGGGGTCGATTCCACTCGAAGCTACCAATTTCAAGATTCCTAGCGAGAGGGAGGGGTTCTGGCATTTTTTTCTAGGTCCAAAAGACGTAACGCGATGTTCCCCGGACGTCGTTTCGCGGTCGTCGTTGTTCTATGCCGTAGTTCCGTGTTATTTGGATGCAGTATTTTTTTTTATATTCGTCGGCAGATTTAATCTGCGCCGGTCGCGGGTTTGTCATAACTTTGTAAATCGGCCCTCATTCCCGCGGGTAATGTCGGATCCCTTTTAGCTTAACGAAAATATTTACGTGCCACCCTTCAGTACCAAGTGCGCTCCGTTTAAAAGAGGGGAGATTTTTTTTAGGTCCAAAAGACGCAACGCGATGTTCTCCGGATGTCGTTTCGCAGTCGTCGATGTTCTATGTCGAAGTTCCGTGTAATTTAGATGCTATTGCAGTACTTGTTTTTACATTCGTCGGTAGATTTAATCGGCGCCGGTCGCGGGCTTGTCATAACTTTGTAAAGTTTTTTTTTAGGTCCAAAAGACGCAACGCGATGTTCTCCGGATGTCGTTTCGCAGTCGTCGCTGTTCTATGTCGAAGTTCCGTGTTATTTGAATGCTATTACAGTATTTTTTTTTTTACATTTGTTGGCTGATTTAATCGGCGCCGGTCGCGGGTTTGCCATAACTTTGCAAACCGTTTCTCATTCCCGCGAGGAATGCCGGATCTCTTCGAGCATAACGAAAATATTTATGAGCCACCCTTCAATGCCAAGTGCGCTCCGTTTAAAAGAGGGGAGACTCTCAAGGGCAATTAAGCGGCCGTCACAACGCGTACAATCTCGCACATCCCGATTCAACGTTGCGGAATCTTCGTTTCAACCCCCTTTCCAAGCCGAGCAAGGGGGGCCGGGGGTGAATTCTCTTCGTATTATCGAATCGATCCCTTCGCGTCTCTCTTTCCCTCTGCTGTTAGCGCTCGAGGCGGCTCTCGAGTTGCCCGGAGCCGTACGATTCCCGACGAATCGACAGCCGGAATCGACGAGAAATCGGTTCGCTCTCTTGGATGAAGGTCTGTGTCCACGGTGCTAGAACTTGGCCCAGTTTCGAGAAATTTTTAGCCAATCAACCTGCAGCTTTTACGGAATAGGCGAGAAATCGGCTGATTCTCTTGGATTAAGGCCTCCCAGTGAGAAACGATTCGTCGATCGATGTCAATTCGACATCGTTTCGACATCGATCGACGAATCGTTTTTCACTAGGAGGCCTTTATCCAAGAGAGCGAGCCGATTCCTCGCCTATTACGTCAAAATCGACGTCAATTTGACGGTGCCGATGTCGATTCGACATCGTTTCGACATCGATCGACGAATCGTTTTTCACTGGGAGGCCTTTATCCAAGACAGCGAGCCGATTCCTCGCCGATTCCGTAAAAATCGATGTCAATTTGACGGTGCCGATGTCGACATTATTTCGACAGCGATCGACGAGTCATTTCTCGCTGGGTCGTGTCCACGATGCTAGAACTTGGTCCAAGTTCTAGTTTCGAGAAACGTTTAGCCAATCAGCCTGCAGCTTTTACGGAATAGGCGAGAAATTGGCTCGCTCTCTTGGATAAAGACCTCCCAGTGAGAAACGATTCGTCGATCGGTCGATAAATCGTTTCTCACTGGGAGGCCTTTATCCAAGTGAGCGAGCCGATCGTAAAACTCGACGTCAATTTGACGGTGCCGATGTCGAATCGACATCGTTTCGACATCGATCGACGAGTCATTTCTCGCTGGGCCGTGTCCCACGGTGCTAGAACTTGGACCAAGGCCTTAATAACGTCCAGCGAATCAACGGAACGGCGGTGGGCGTGAATTGCGAGACGGCGCGGGAAACGCGAATGCGATTCGCGCGCGAATTTAGATGTTACGCCGAACGGTATCGACGAGCGAGAGTGGACGCCCCAATCCCGAAGTAATGCAAACAGACCGCAGACTTACGGCACCGATCGCAATTTGAGCAAACAAAACGGCGTATTTGCATTTCTACGAACAGCATCACGCGGCTAGTGCGCCGAAGAGGAGAGAAAATAGGAAAAAAAAAGCCACGTGCTTTGCCGCTCTTTAGAAAATCAGCGGATCGTAACGGGCGTTATAGCTCAGTCTGTTAATACGCGCGTGCAAATCGCGCGGTTTTGCACGCGTTGGCGCACTTACGAGCTTCCAATTAACTCGTGGCTGTAAGTGTCACAAAAACTCGCGTTTTTCGCGTGCTTTGATCGAGGGATAAGCTGCCGCGAAGAATTGGCGCGCTAATCCCGTAATGTCCCGGTATTAAATATCAAACCACTTTATTAAATCGCCACAGTAATGTGTTGGCGATAATTTTCAAACTTGCCCGAGATCCTGACAATGTGTCCTAGTATCGAAATAAATCCCTAGATAAAAATTGCGCATCGATAGCTCTGCGTACTGCCTACAGCCCGAATCGGCGCGCAGTTTAAAGTAGGAAAATAGAAAACGTCACCATTAGACTGTTTATTGCGACAAATATTACCGCATGCCTCAGTGGTCGAATCGGTGAGACGGCCGCCTAGAGTGTAGAGAGGTTCGAATCCTGGCTGCGGTAATATTTTTCGCAATAAATTTCTGTAATTAGAATTTGCCAGTTGTGTCGACTATTAATTTCTTACATTGGTTAATTATTTACTGGCGGCAATAAGTCTTTATTCATTGAAATTCCTAGATATCGAAGAAATGTGAAAGTATCTCCGAAACGAGTACAAGTTATAAAAGTTGTGCGCTAATTGAATAGTAAAGGCCGCGAATTTGCTATTTCTTTCGTCTCGCACGTCGAAATTTTCCGAAGCTTTTGTTCTCCTAATATCGATTGTACGAGATGTCGCCGTACAACGCCGTTTTGTTTTATCTCTAGCTTATATAAGTACGTATTTAAAAGTAGAGGCATTTGCAATTTTAATTTACACCACACAACGCGTGCCACGTAAAGTGAATGCGGCACACGTATGGCCAACGGGGAACACCTTTCTGCCCTTGCCAGACTTGTCTATACAGCGCTACATTTCGCCAATTGCGCAGAACTAAATACGCGCACACACATGTACATATTTTTATATAATACAATATGTACAGCATAATAAATATGTAACGCATTTATATAATAACTTGCAATTTAATGTGCAATATTTTATAATCATACGCATACGTCACTGTCTAAACAGATAAATATTCTTAGAAATTTCTAATGTTCTCCATATGGCCCGGAAACGCGCAACCGACGAGCGTTACTTTTCGTAATCGCCCCTAGAGATTTATGAACGTAGAAGCAGCCGCGCGTGTCTATATGTGGCCACGCGCTGTACAGTATATTTGCATAATTACGGTAGCGAGACGCACGATCCTAAGACGTGCGACCGTAAACGGGGACGTAAAAGCGCTCTTTACGATCGTATTTCGTTTCCTATCGACGAAAACGCCGGTTTATCGGGCAGTTACCGGGAATACGCTATTAGGCCCGCCAGATTCTCTCGACTATCTCGAGCCAGGCGCCGCTAATGCCGGGGAACGTTCGCTATCGCATCCGTTCGATTAATCCGCGATCAAAGCCGGCCGCCTTGTGCATCGCGAGGCGTCCCTGGCGATAGAGGATCGACTTGGAGTAGACCGCCGCACTGCTGGATCCTGCGCACCAGTACTCTCGTTTGCCCTGGTTGTTTCCGGCGGAAGTAAAAGCTTCGCGGTCCCCTAATTTTCTACCGAACGTCCTCTGATGGTAGACAAAGACTCTAGACGTTGGCCAAGCCCCGACGTTAGTTTTTTTCGACGTTATAGGTCGAAAGCATATTCAAATGAATCTCCACGACCACACGACGCATACGCGCGGCAAATGTAAAAGAATGCTGCATCGCTTCGTGTTCTTCACGTCTGATTGGCGCGACGCAAGTCTGCCTTGATCTTGCGAGCGCAACGTGCTTTCAAAAAGCATAAGCGAGTGTGTTCTAACGAGAACCAAAGTGCTCGGTGATGCTGAGAGATAAAATAGAACAGCACCATCTTTCTGCCAAACACTTTGCTCGAGTAATCGTTGACCGAAGATACCGCCTAATCTTGTAATGCGCGCTTTGCGTCTGGAAACATACTATTTTATATAAGCGAATCAAATCGCCTGAAAAAGCCTTGTCGACAATGTACGATTGTACAATGTATAATGTACAATTTATCAACTTGCGCAAATTTTTTAAACAAATTAATTGGCCACAAAATAGAATGTCCCTAGACGCAGAGAGCACATTGTACAATAGATTAGGCGTCATGCCTAACTTACAACGCGCTCTCTGCGTCTAGGAATATTCTATTTGTAGTCAATAAACTTTGTGCAAGTTGACAAATTGCACATTATACATTGCACAATCGTACATTGTCGACCAATTTTTTTGAGCGTTTTGAAAGCACATTGTAGATTAGGCTTAAGAGGTGCTGTTTCTAATTACTAAGGCCCGGTTTCACCAACGTTGTTTAACTTTAAGCTTGGCTTAATTCCGTTCCTTGTCTCTTTCCAACAGTTGGAGAGTAACAGTTGGAAAGGGACCAAGAACGAATTAAACTAAGTTTAAAGTTAATCGTCGTTGGGTGAAACCGGGCCTTAGAGACACGGTCATCCGGCGGTTTATCACGTGAAAAACTCATCACGCGGCGTTACGTGCGCGCATACGTCCGATGCATCTTGCACCGCGGTTTCGTTTTCGTTCGTGGAGCACGCAACGAATTTCGCGCTATCGATCCCGGTAGTAGTCCACCGCCTCTACCGCCGGCCTGTGCCGCTATTACTGCCGCTCGTCGATTATTTACGAGACAAAAAGTAGAATGTGACTGTGCGTCGAAGGTGCAATGTAAGTGACTGTGCCCCGCGATAATAGGTCGTTATCGATAAAGCTGATGGCGCGGGGTCACTTCGGTAAAAGCCGCTCGTTCTCTTCCG